AGATGCAGGAGGGAGAAGGTGGGTAATAGCAGGTTGTCTCTACTTTGCAAAGGTCTTTGTAAAGTTTCTCTCTGTTTACACCTAATATTTCTATGTGGGTTTTTATAATTGATATTCCAACAGGTGTCATGCACACGTGTTTCACTGAAACTTTGGGACTGAACTCATTTTCCTGTGTACTTGGGAGATGCCAATGACCTGGGGCCTGTGTCCCTGGGAAAAATACAACTCTGGAAGGGAGGAACACTGCTCATCTCTTTCACTGCCTGCCTGGGAACACCTGTTGGCCTGTTGTGACTGTTTTACCCTGATGTTTAGACCTATTTTAATTTCCAACAGGGTCACAAAACCAAACATCAGGTACTGGTCCTAGCCACTGTTTCCCAACATTTCCAAAAGCAGTTACTCGTTCTTGGTCTTGTCTACTATTAAAGGCTTGAGAAACAGATTCTTATTCCACTTTCCCAGGCTATTGCTTGTGATGTAAATGCAGGCTTATTGCTTGTTGATTGTATAGTAGCTTAACCACACGGCATTCATAAGTTGGGCTTCTGGTCAGTCCACAGTCTGCAATAGTCGGTGTGGTCTGTCAGGCACTGACCAGGTCTTCAGTCTACACAGGGCGGAATTTGCCTGCAACCCCAGTCCTCCTTTCCCATCACCACCTTTTAAATACCCCTGCCCCTTTACTTGTTCCTGATTTAAGCAGCTCCTCTGTCCCAGTGCTCCTATTCCCTAGTGCTTCCACTGGGTACCCACCCTGTCTCCTGCATGTGCTGGAGGACTGGTGTAAGAGGATGCACAGAGCTGCCTCCCCCCTCCCCCCCTGAAGTCCTGTGTGGTCATGGGTTTACAATGAGCACTTCCAGCTGTGTGCTGCCTTCTGCTCCCCCCTACTCAAGTTTACATGGTGACATAGATTCATAGAGTCAGAAGGGACCTCAGTGGGCCAGCTAGTCCGACCCCCTGTCCCTGGCAGGCAAGAAGAGAGTCACCAACCCTGGGGTCATGTGATCCCAGCCAGGTGCCTGTCCAGTCTCCTCTTGAAGCCCCCCCAAGGATGGGGCGAGCACCACCTCCCTGGGAAGCCCATTCCAGATTCTGGCAACCTTGACTGTGAAGAACTTTTTTCTAATGCCCAGTCTAAACCGTCTCTCCAGTAGCTTATGGCCGTTGCTCCTTGTCGTTCCAGGGGGTGCCCTGGTAAACAGATCATCGCCTACTTTCTGTTGCTCCCCGCTTATAAATTTGTACGCTGCCACAAGGTCCCCTCTCAGCCTTCTCTTGGAGAGGCTGAAGAGGTTAAGGTCCCTTAGCTTTTCCTCGTAGGGCCTTCCCTGCAGGCCTCTAATCAGCCAAGTGGCTCTTCTTTGGACCCTCTCCAAGTTGTCTGCATCCCGCTTGAACTGCAGCATCCAGAACTGGACACAGTACGCCAGCTGCGGTCTGACCAGTGCCACATCGAGCGGGAGAATCACTTCCCTGGACCTGTTTGTGAAGCACCTACGGATGCACAACAAGGTGCAATTGGCTCTGCCAACTGCTTCATCACATTGGCGACTCATGTTCATCCTGGAGTCAACTGTGACTCCAAGATCTTTTCCTGCCTCTGGCACTGAGAGGGTTGCCCCCCAGCCTGTAGGTATGATGGCAGTTCTTCCTCCCTAGATGCAGCACCTTGCACTTGTCCTTATTGAATTGCATCCTGTTGCTCTCTGCCCACTTCCCCAACCTGTCTAGGTTGGCTTGGATCTGGTTCCTCCTCTCCAGGGTGTTAGCAGCACCCCATAGTTTTGTGTTGTCCATGAATTTGGACAGGATGCTTCCCACCCCGTCATCCAGATCACTGATGAAGATGTTGAACAGCACTGGCCCAGGAACTGAGCCCTGAGGGACTCTACTGTCCACACCTTTCCAGGTTGACACTGACCCACTACCACCCTCTGGGTGCAACCCTTGAGCCAATTTGCTACCCATTCTACCGTGTAATCATCCAAGGCAAATCCCCTCAGTTTATTTATAAGGATGGTATGGGATACCTTGTCAAAGGCCTTCTTGAAGTCCAGATAGAGAACATCCACCTCGACTCCTGAAACTAAACATTTGGTGGCCTTGTCATAAAAGGAAACTAGGTTAGTCAGGCAGGACCTACCTGATAAAAACCCATGTTGGTTACCCCTCCACATCACATTAGCTAGCGGGCTCCCACAAATGTGCTCTTTGATAATTTTTTCTAGGATTTTCCCACGGATAGAGGTAAGGCTGACTGGTCTATAGTACCCTGGGTCCTCCTTCCCTCCCTTCTTAAAGACTGGGATGACGTTAGCCCTCTTCCAGTCCTCCGGAACCTGACCTGAGCACCATGAGCGCTCATATATCCTGCCAGTGGATCAACTCTGACCCCCACTAATTCCTTCATTACCCGTGGGTGGAGACCCTCTGGTCCCGGTGATTTGAATATGTCCAGTCCCTCCAAGTGTCTTTTTACCGTGTTGGCACTGACCGTTGGTCGGCTGATGTTCCCTTTGTTGGTGTCTGTGATGTATGTTGAGGGTTCGTCTAGATTTCCATTTAAGAAGACAGAGGCAAAAAAGTCATTGAAGAGCTCTGCCTTGTCCCTGCTTTCTGTCACTAAGCCCCCCCTGCCCGTCCTGTAGGGGTCCTATGCTACCCCGCACCCTCTTTTTGCTCCCTATGTACCTAAAGAAGGACTTTTTATTGTCCTCAATCCCTGATGCTAGCCCGAGTTCTAGAATTGCCTTGGCCTTCCTGACTTCCTGCAGATATGGGCCAAAGAAGTATACTCCTCTTTGCTAGCTTCCATTTCCTGTATGCCTCTTTTTTTGCCCTTAGGGTATCTTGGATGCCCCTGGTTAGCCAAAGGAGCTCCCTGGCCCCCTTTCCTCTGCCATGGGATTGACACACTCTGAGCCCAAAGAATGGTTTCCTTGAGGAATGTCTGCCCATCCTGGACCCTCAACACATCTAAGTTCTTAGCTCTTAGCACCCTACTAACCAATCCCATGAGTCTATTAAAGTCAGCCTCTTTTAAAGTTCAGCACCCATGCCCTGCTGGCATGGTGTGACATCCCAGCACACCTACAGCCTAGGGAATGACCTGCTGGGTGGCATGGAAGTGGAAAGGGATCTGGGAGTCCTAGTAGACTCCAAGATGAACATGAGTCGGCAGTGTGACAAAGCCATCAAAAAAGCCAATGGCACTTTATCGTGCGTCAGCAGATGCATGACGAATAGGTCCAAGGAGGTGATACTTCCCCTCTATCGGGCGCTGGTCGGACCGCAGTTGGAGTACTGCGTGCAATTCTGGGCACCGCACTTCAAGAGGGATGCGGATAACCTGGAGAGGGTCCAGAGAAGGGCCACTCTTGGTTAACTCTTGGTTAACTCGTATGGTTAAGGGCCTGAAGACCAAGCCCTACGAGGGGAGACTAGAGAAACTGGACCTTTTCAGCCTCCGCAAGAGAAGGTTGAGAGGCGACCTTGTGGCTGCCTATAAGTTCATCACGGGGGCACAGAAGGGAATTGGTGAGTATTTATTCACCAAGGCGCCCCCGGGGGTTACAAGAAATAATGGCCACAAGCTAGCAGAGAGCAGATTTAGATTGGACATTAGGAAGAACTTTTTCACAGTTAGAGTGGCCAGGGTCTGGAACGGGCTCCCAAGGGAGGTGGTGCTCTCCCCTACCCTGGGGGTCTTCATTTCCAGCGGGGGTCAGTTATACCCAGCACTCTGTCCTGCTTATGCAGGGGGTCGGACTCAATCTATTGAGGTCCCTTCCGACACTAACATCTATGAATCTATAATGCCTGCCTTTCGCTGGATAGTGAATTTAATCATTTGGTGATTGCTGACCCCTAAGTTGTCTTGAATCCGCAGGTCCCCCACCAGGTCATCCCCTGTGGCCAACACCAAGTCGAGCAAGGTGTTGCCCCTGGTGGGACACCTTACCTCTTATGTTAGGTGGAGGTCCTGAATACAGGTTAAGAACCTGCGAGAGCAGTTAGATCTAGCTGACTGCTCCTCCCAGCATATGTCTGGGTAGTTAAGGTCCCCCATAACTACCATATCTCTAGACCTCACAGCCTCTTCGAGCTGCTTGGAAAATCTGTGTGACATCCCACCCCCTGTGCAAACCTGAGCCATCTGAGCAGGGGGACTGCTGTGGCAGGGGCACCAAGACACGTGGTCGACAGCCCAGAGTTTGCAAGTTCAAGGTTGTAGCAGAAGTGCTGAGTGTGGCCTGTCAGATTCCCACAAAATCTGTGAACTCTTATATGTACCTTGTCACAAGGGCATGAAAAAGAAAAGGACATGAGCAGGGGCCCACATTACAGTCTTATTGCATTGGCCAGTGATCAAGGGTAGCTGCATGTCCCTCCTTCAGTGCTTGTCTGTTGATGGGCACTCTTGGCTACTTGACCAACTGAAGAGGTTGGAGGGAAAGTAGGTTCCCCACTCTGTTAGGGGGTCAGAGGTCAAAGTTGGGTGAGGGTTCAGCAACCCTGGAATGCCCCAGTCTCCCCCTGCCTCCCCCAGGGTTGGGCTACCTGCTGCTGCCAGTGACCTTGACTGAAGCAGGGCACTGCGCACACCCCTCTGTGCTAGGTTGACAGGCACTTCCGAGCAGCCCACACTGCCTAGGAAATGTGGGCTCTGACATCCTGGTTTTTGGACAGTAGCAAGAAAGCAAAAGGCCTTGTAGTACAGGCTTCAGTTCTGGGGCTGCACCCTGTTTTCCAGACTCTCCCACCCCAGGAGCTTATTTCTTGTATGTCCCTGCAGGCTATTGAGGGTGGGGAGCACATGGAAGAAACCTACATCTTTCATTCAGCAAATTTCAGAAAGCAATGTCAGTACAGCAAAAGCTTTGTTATCCGGCATAAATGGGGAATGGCGGGGCAGGGATGGGTGCTGGTTATCTAAAAATTCTGGTTATCTGAGAGTATACCTAGCAAAGAAGACCGTGCCATATTTATAGTGCAAATTTTTAAAGAATTCATGTACAATACATTACAATATAACATGCTGCATAAATAATAAAATATTATACAAGTATTCACCACTCAAGTAGTAGTAAAGTAGCACTGGAGTGAATAAAAATCCTGAGGCAGCGACATACAGTACAGTACACTAAAATTGCATGTAGTACACTATTGGCAGCACATGGCATACACCTAGATCACTTAAAAGTACAGTACACTTAACACTACACTAAAATTATTTACTATTTACCAAAACTATTTACACTACTGTACATAATTTACTGCCTCTTTGAAGATCCAAGAGGCACTTGGGGATCTTTCAGTGCCTCAGAGCCATCAACGTCAACTGCAGATGTAGAAGGTGATGGTGATGGGACTGATTCTGTACTGGCTTTATGACACGCCCTGGAAGCTTTTTTAAAGAAATCCCTGATATCAGCTTGCCTACTTGCTGCTTGCTTTTTTTGCATGAAATCAGAGTGAATAATGTGTAACTGCATAACCTCCTGTGCAGAATAACAACTCTGCCTTTCAGCAAATTTAATGAAGTTGTCAATATGTGAAGCAGCACTAGCCCAAGATATTTTCTTCTCTTCACTAAAGTCTTCTTCTTCAGAGTCTTTTTCAGTGACCTTAGACTTTTCAGGATTCACAACACACTTTATTATTTCTGCATCATTAAAAACATGTTCAACTTCCTTGTCAGCTTCGACCCACTCTTCTATCTCACTTCCTTCAAGTTTATTGACTGGGTCTGTAGAAGGAGCATCCTTTACCACTTCAAGAATTTGAGCTATTGTATTTTTTCTACGTTTCACATTAAAACCTTCCAAGTCGCCTTCATCAGAAGACCCTTCTGCAAACATAACACTAGGCCACAAGTTTCTCCAAGCATTCCTTAATGTTTTACTTTTTACAGAATTCCAGGCACAAGCCACATTAAAAACTGCATCTTTTATGTTATAAAGAGATTGAAAGTTCTGGATAGTGCCTTCATGATTGATTAACTTTCTCAGAAAATCTCTTCTGTAATAACATTTCATATTCTGGATAATGCCTTGGCCCATTGGTTGAATCAGTGAGGTAACATTGGCAGGAAGGAAGATGGTAAAAATATTACCTGACACTAACTCACATTCAGGAGGGTGAGCTTGACAATGGTCTAATAACAGAATAGCTTTACTTTCTTGAGGTTTTCCAATTTTTCTAAAATGTTCTTTCACTGAGGGTACAAAAACATGATGAAACCAGTCATAAAAAATTCCTTTGTTCATCCATGCATTACTCTGGGCTTTGTAAACAACAGGTAAATGTGTAATACCCTTAAAAGCTCTAGGACGATTACATTTTCCAACCACCAAGAGCTTCACTTTGTGTGTGCCTCCTGCATTAGCACATGTAAGCACAGTTATTCGGTCTTTATTCTGCTTGAAACCAGCAGCACTCGATTCACCTGCGCCAGCAAGGGCAGAATTTGGCAAACATCGCCAAAATAGGCCAGTTTTGTCTGCATTGTAGATTTGGTCAGGAGATAGATCATGCTCAGCAACTAATTTGTTAAAAAACACACAATATTTTTCAGCAGCTTCATGGTCAGCCGATTTTATTTCAGCAGGCACATCTAGCTTTCTAATGCCATGACGAAGTTTAAAACATGAAAGCCATCCAGCCGAAAACGCACAGGGTTCAGTCAAATCCATTTGCTTGTAGAAATCTTTTGCCTTTTCAGTGAGCATTGGGCCAGAGATGGGGGCACCCTCTGATCGTTTTAGTGAAAACCATTCATATAAAAGACTATCAAGCTGCTCTAATTTAGGCTTATGTAGAGTACGGCGTTTTTCAACAGCTTTACTAGTCTCAGAACTAGAGACAAATTTGAGCAATTGTTCCTTTTGAGCCTTGATATCATATATTGTTGACGATCCAACATTGAACTCTTTCATCAGAACATTACGGTTCTCACCTTTTTCTAGACGTCTACAAATGTCTATTTTCTGCGTTAATGTTAACACAACTCTTTTTCGCTTTTCACCTTTGCTTCTTGATCCAATAAAAAACATATTGGATGCCATAATAGTCAGCCACCCCAAACGCCAGGGCAGCCCGGCTGCTGCCACAAGGGGAAGGGGCGTGCACACTCAGATACCCTGCACGGGTACCCTGAGCCGTGCAGCAGGCAGCCAAGTGGCGCAACGTGGCACTGTGTGTATCCCACTGCTGAAAGTGGCTCAGCAGGCAGCAAAGCTGTGTGGCACTGTGTGCGTCCTGCTGCTGAAAGCAGCGCAACAGGCAGCAAAGTGGCACGGCACAGTGCTGTGTGTGCCCCGCTGCTGAAATTCTGGTTAATAGTATTCCAGTTAGTTAAATGCTGGATAACACAGCTTTTACTACAGTACTACTATTATCCCTGTTCTGACAATTACAATTACTATTATTTGTTTTCCCATCTAGTTTGCCAACAAAGCTTCTGGTATCTCACAGTAAGGAAAGCATGTTTTTTCAAACAGATGACTGAAGAAGAAAACCAACAGGATGAGAATCGCTGTTTTAAAGGAACCTCTCTGGTCCCATTTGCGGGCAGTGTAGGCAATGGGGAAGAAGACGTGGAGTGCCCTCCCCCATTTTGGAGGCCCAGGGCTCACGACCCACTGCCCAACCAGTGAGCAGAGTTAGGGTATAAAGCTAGACATGGGCCCCACGCAGTGAGCAGAGGCTGTTTCAGCACTGGACCCGAGAAAGAGGACTGAGCTGAGCACACTTGCGTTCTTGTTGCCTGGGCAGATGGGGCACGTGGTGCCTGCTGGGAAGAGTCCTGTGGACAGCCTGGCCTGTTCTCCACGTCTTTTCTGTGAGTGGAACGGATGTGTGTCGTCCTGTAGGCGGCTGGGTTGATAGGCTCTGGCACAGCACTGCTGAGAATGCTTCGGCAAAATTGAGGCTCAGCGAGGCCTGTTTCTAGCAGGCCTCCCCACCCCTTCGCTTGCCTGCTCCTTGGTGTAACAATGCCGTTTTAGCTTCTAAGTTCCCGTTTCCTGTTCTTACCAACAGCTCATTATCGTTGGTCCTCTCCTGAGATGAGACTGCAGCCAGTCTGCGATCAGAACCTCGTTAGCAAGCTCGGGTGCAGAAGTAAGGCACAGCTACGGTTCTCTTGAAGATTCCCCTTTAAATGGATAAGGCAGGTCCCATTACAATTCCTGTAATTATGGGCACTCAGTCAACTAAGAGGCAGGGGACCAATCTGCGGCCTGAGCTTGCCTGTCGTACCCCAAAGGTCCCCCACAAAGTAGCGCAGCACCACACAGATTCTCCCCAGCTGGGGTGGGAGATGGCGCATCTGACTAGCAGGTCTGGAATTGGTGCAGTTCCCCTCACCTTTGCCCTCCAGCCCACCCCGTACGTTAGAGAAACACGTTGTGTTTTGACCACGGACTGCAGACACCTGACGATGCGAAGGTCTGTGGTAGGAGAGAGATGCAATCACACGGAAGTTGGATTTAAGGCCTTGTTCTGTGTAATTTGGTCTGGTTCAGGTACTCTTCTTCCTTGGCTGACTGGGCTACTTATCACGTCTGCAGAGGCTTTGGGGGTTCTGGCTTTAGCGCCAAGTCACAGCTTGGCAGTGGCCCCGGGGAAAGGACCTGCGCTCAGAACAAGCGCTCATACCGCGCTGCCACCAAACGAGATGTTGCACAGCTCCACACGACACAAAGTTGTGTTCGCTGCGGTGACATCTGACGCCCGCTACCGCTTTCGGGTGGGGGGCCGGACCCGCCTGGGCTGGCGACGCACCTGCGGAGGCCGGGGCGGGCTGCGGGCAGGGCGGCACCAGCGCGGGGTGGCGGACGGGGAGAGCAGAGCCAGACCAGCGAGTCCTTGCCCTTGCCGACGGGCCAGGAGC